AAAAAAAAAAAAAAAAAAAAAAAGCCAGCATATCTGCCCCCAAGCTGCCGGGTCTAACCTCGGCACTGCCTCCGTCCTGAGTGTTCTCGGGGAGCCTAGAACGTGCCAAGGGCCATCTGGCCCTTTCCACCTCTCCTACCTCCCTCTAGATCCCCTCTCGTCCCCCGTCCCCAGGGGCTGACACCCCCTGCCCCCGCACCGTTCCCACCTGCAGCTCCTTGAGCACTCGCTTGACGAGGAAGGTGCCCAGCTCTACCCCCTGCAGTCCGGGCTGCGTCAGGCTGATGGAGTAGAAGATGGCCGCAGAGATCTGGCTCCCCTCCTCCGTCTCCGACGGGGGACACTCCTTCACTATGGCCTGGAAAACACCACGGTGGTCATGGTGGGCTTGGGCCCCCCGCTTCCCACACCTGCCCTACCTCTCGGGGCCGGGAGAAGCCAGTGAGGGTGGGAGCCCGGAGACCTCGGCCCTGTTCAGGGCCTCGGCTCTCGAGACCCAAGGCCTCTTCCGGTTTGAGACCTCTCCGGAGGCGGCAACGCACGGCCTCCCTGGGTTGTTTGCTCCCCCTGCACTGTTTCTATCGCAACGAACTTCTCAACAAGCAATGCGTATTCCCTTCGCCTTTTCCGGGCCTCTGTGTGGTCAGAGACGGATGAATCTCCTCCCCGCCAGCACCAGACGTAACCTGCTGACCCGGCTGGTAGGCCAGCGCCTCCCTCTCCGTGGCTGCCCTGCGTGGGCCTGACCGTTCTACCCTGCAGTCATTCTCGCTCCTTGTCTCTGAACTCTGGGCTTTCAGATATCCCAACAGGCCATACGCAATCCCATAAAGTCTTTCTCTCAGCAAGTTCACCTTTCTGTACCCTTTTGATTTTGTGCTACGTCCTTGTTTTTCCTTGGGGAAAACACACATCCGCACAGACACGCACACGAAGTAATGCAGAAAGACTCCTACTGGGAAGTCCCCTAGCCAAGGCTGATGTTATTAGCTCTGAGTTCTGGGTGTGGTTTTCTGAACCTCAACACTCTGAAGGTCACCGGACAACAGCGGAACGGCAGGCGGGGACCTCCAGTTTGCTTCGAGGCAGGTGCACCAGCTTGCTTCCCAGAACGCATCTAAGCTGCTAACTTCCATCAGCGACACCCGATTCTGGCAGCGGGGGTGTTCCCTCCACGAGGTCTGGGAGTCCACGAGCTTTGTGAAATTGTGTGTGGAATGTGCGGGTCTGCGCGTGTCCTCCGGGGGACGACATCCTCGAGCTTTCACCCCCTGGAGATGCTCAAAGGGTCTTTCCTGTGGCTTCTGAAGAGCTAAGAACGCCGCTGCTGTAGGAAGGCGGGGTGGATGGGGACAAAGGGCCAGGGACACCCCCCGGGGCCGCGCTCTGACAGCTCGGTGCCACCTGGGTCAGGACGCACCTCTGCCTCATGCCCACTCTTCACCGTGTGAGGTCGCCTCCGCTGTCTTTCTGGAATGCTGCAGGTTACCTTGTGTTCCTTGCTCAAAATTTTCCAGCAAGCCTTTTTTTTTAAAGTTTTCAAAACACAAATGAATCTTTCTTTGGTTATACAAGAGACTGCATGATGTCAACGAGGCAAAACGTGTACGCGTGAGGAAGAAATCACAAGTTATTCCCAAACCAATTCCTGCTGTTAACCTTCCGGTGAACACCTTCCAGTCGGTCCCATTGGCGTAGGTGCGTGCACACTTCAACACACACACACACACACACGCACACACGCACACCCTGTGCACGCGCTCTCTCCCCGCGCCCACGCGCCCCATTCTCCCACGCCCTGAGCGCTGGGGTGGAACCCCGGTCTCACCCTTACTGGTACTGGGATCGTGGGCAGATCTCCCAAGTTACCCTAAGCCTCAGTCTCCTCGCGTCCACGAGGACAAGAATAACAGGAGAAACGCTGAATGCCCAGGGTGGCACGAGCAGGGACGCGGGGACATGGCTCATGAGCTGACGGGCACCCAGCAAATGCTCGATCCCTATGTGCTTAAGCGCACACTGAACATGCCGGTCTGGAGCCTGAATTTCCGGCCGTTCCAGACCCGGACAGTGAGCAACCGTCCACGCTCCCAGGTCTGAGCATCACGTAGGGAGAACTCCCCAGAGTGGAGATTGTAGGTCGCACAGAACGCACGTCTTCTATGTTCACAGACATCGCCAAACTGCCCTCAGAGAGGCTGTGGCAGCTTCCAGCGCGTGCGGGTCCCGCAAACGCAACATTCACGAGGGACTTTCTCCGTGGAGGTCAAGAACACCCGCCCGCTTGCCCTGCTTGGTCTCTCCACCTTCTGATACCATGAAAGGCTGCCTGGATGCCCATCCTGGGATCCGGTATCATCTTTCCAGCTTCCGGACCGGCCATCCCGGACCCAGAGCCGCAGCCCACCGGGCCCCGCGCTCTGACAAGCCCCAAGTGCCCCGGGGTCTCTGCTCCCTCGCCTGCTTCACCCTCCCCGCGGTCAGGCCCCTGCTCCCAGCCCCCGCACTGGTTCTTCTCCAGCCCCGGCAGGAGGGATCCGCTCCTTCCCGTCCACCCAGAGCAGGCAGCGCCTGCCAAACAGGGTCCCGGGTCCTCGGCTCCCCGGGCCGAGCTCTGGGCCCACCTCAGGCACGCCGCACGGTCTGATTTTCAGTGTTGTAGCCACGGGTCTTGAAACCCGGCCCCGGGGCCCCTTAACGACCACTAAAGTGTTGAAGGGTGCACCTTTCCTTCCTTAGCCACGTCTTAGCTGCAGGTCGATGTCCCCAGAGGAGTGCCATCCTTGTTCTGGAACTGTCTATACACGACGTGTGTACACTCTGTAGCCACAGACCGGGAGATTTTCTCTAGCTGATTCAAAACTCCACAGGTGCCTGGGGCAATCTACTTCACAAGGGGGTGGGGGGACACAACCACGTTTAAAACAGCGTCAGGGACTCTGCGACGCGGCCCTGAGCCGGCCGTCCGCGGGTACCTGGATGTTGCTGGAGATCTCGTTGGTCAGCGCCACGTGCAGCACGACCAAGGGCTCCTCGGGGCTTGCACAGTGAGAAAAGAAGTAACACCTCCTGTAAGGCCCGACGCGTCGTTTCATATCCATCCAGTTTTTCACAGGATGCACGGCCTCAGACCTGGGGGAAAGTCAGAAAGAAGTAAGCCAGGGGGACAGCTCGCAAGGTACGTAACCGCTGCCGGTTCCTGTGCATACTGCCAAGGGAGCCTTGGTGGCTCGGTCAGTGAGGCCCAGTCCTCACTACAGTCCATCCGTCCTTCGCATGCAGCCTCAACAGACCTGCCAGGAAAATTCAAGGAGAACCGTTTTAATGTGAAACAGCGCTGGCTGACAGGAACAGCAGCTAATGACCCTCGGACCCACAAACTGCCCCCTGCTTCTTAACACTGGGTCTCAAGGCTACTTTGCAGGCCCCCGGAAGCAGATCCTGACACGGGTGACCTGAGGATGCTTGCACCTCCCGGCCGCTCTCTCCTCCGAGTCTGCGGCGTGAAGTCCGTGCTGCAAACACGCAGCCCGGGTTGTCCAGCGGCCTCGTCAGCCACGTGTTGTTTGCAACGTGTCAAATGGGAGCCCCTCGGGTTTGTCACGCTTCAAAGCGCAGCCTTTCGCGAGCCTCAGTGTCTGTAAGACGGCATGGGCACCAAGACCCGCGAGGGAAGAGCGGCTCCTGTCCGTGGGGACCGCTGGGGCTTCGCCGTGTCCTGCGCACGCGGGGACCACGCCCCACACAGCCCATCCAGAGACTTACGCCAGGGAGGTGCTGTCACAACTACGGGAGGCAGATGCCGTTGGGGTCACTAACGCCAGGAGTCGGCCCAGCGGGACCCTGTGGCTCTGAGAATGGGGGGTGGGGAGAGGCGGGCCGTGCACTTGACCACGGGCCACACACGTTGTGCTTGGGCCACAACGCGCGCGGACAGAGGCCGGCTTTCAGCTCCCGTTCAGGAAAAGTGACAACTTGAATACTTACTCGCTGATTTTCTGCAGGACCTCACACGGCGAGTGCCAGGTGACCCGTTCCAGGCTCAGGAACCCCGAAGAGAACCACTCTGAGAGCATGCCCTTCAGCACTCCGTTCATCTCCTAAAAGGGAGAACACAGAGTGCTGGCTTCTGGGGACAGGCCGGCCAGCCCGCCTCTGTGCCACCACCAGCCGACACGGGGGGATCAAGCAGGCAAGAGGGACGCGAAAGCAGACCGCGGGGTGCTTCTCCCAACGGCTTCCTCGGTGACAGCTCCGCGGGACTCACCCCACCCAGGTGGCCGGCACCCGGCTCTCGCCCCGCCCGGCCACCCCCGTCAGTAAGACCTCAGCGGGAGCTTTCGATCTGAGCGAAGCTGCCCGATCGACGGCGTGTTCCAGCACACGCGCCACAGTGAACGCGACTGAACTCGCGAAGTCGACAGAGCGACGGCTGGTGCGCCAAGAAGGGAACGCTAACACGGGGGGCGCGGGGATCAGGACCCCCTCCTCTCGGAAACATTCTGGGACGTGCCCAAACGTCTCTTGTTTCCGGAGAGGGGCAAGTACTGGGGGTCCGGGCACCGTATCCGTCAACTCAAAGGTGCGCGTTTTCATAGTGTAACGTCTCTGAAGTCGGGATTCATCTTGCAAACGATGGCGGGGTCACCGCTTCACTCGTAGCACTTTTTTCTACCTTAGTGGGATATAGAATAGAGTGTGTCCGGCAATCGGTGACCTTAGATTTGATCAAATTATTCTAAGTTCACTTCACTGATTACATCTAGTCTACTTCCGGAAGTGAGGAGCCAACTTTACCACCCAAGACACGTGTGTCCAAAAACCTTTCAAGCGAGAATGGAACCGGAGGCACCCAGGGCAAGGCGAGGGCGCAGGGGCAGACCCAGCTCGGTGTAGCCCGCTGTGACCGCACTGAACATGTAACCGCAATAGGCTTCCTGACGGCTCGAGCGAGAGGATGCCGGGGCACCAGACACGGCTGGTTGTTCCTCAATAACTGTTTCCTTTTCTTCCAAATCAACAAAAGTCTTATGCTTTAGGCAGGCACATGGCTATCCAGGTTCAAGATCACACTGCAGCCAGGGGCAGTCAAAAGAGCGAGTCCTGGCCAAACAGATGTAAGCAGAAGTAAACATGGCAGGAGCATGCCCTTTGCTCATCTTTTCTTTGTTCCTCTCACTGCAGCCTGGAAGGTGATGTGATGGCTAGAGCTGGAGCAGCCATCCTGGGCCATGAGGTAACTTTGGGGAGGAAGGTTTTTCGGGGAGAACAACAGATGGAAGTCCGTGTCAACTGAGGGCATCACAGAACAGAATCAGCCCTGGGGTGTCTACCTCCAGACTTTTACATGAGAGACAGACTTCTGTCTTATTCAAACCACCATTATTTCGGGTCTCTGTTATTCACAGATGAACTACATACTAACAGATACACTGAATGTTACTGAAGAATAACATACATCTCAGTATATCCAGTATAGAATTGACAGAGAGCTACCACCGCAAAAGCTGTAAAAATGTCCACATTTTATTCCCTGGTAAACGAAAGGACTCACAACTGTGTCACTGGAGGATAAGCTTGAAGTAAGTAAAATAAAGGGCTCGTGGCTCTGAAAAGCTTTCAGAATGAAGTAAGATCCCTCTTTAAATATTTAAGGCCTGGGGCACAGAACCAGCCACTGATTTGTTCTGTGGGACCCCATGGGGGCGAAGAGGGAGGTAAACTTAGGACCAACAAGGGGGAGTCACGGACAGATAGACTTGGACCGAATTTAACGTAAAGGAGAAGTCTGGAATAGCCAGGGTTGACCACAGATGCTATCCGGGGAGAGTGAACATCACCACGAGCGGGGACCAAGGGCAGGGTTTACAAGGATTTGGTGGAGCCGTTTTAAGGATTTAATGGTTGGACCAGATGCCCTTTGCGATTCTCTTTAACTCTGAATTCCATAACCCGGTCTCCCTCCCTCAGCTCCACGCTCGGTGAGGGCAGACGTGGCTTTGACTTCACACCTCTGGATCCAAAGGCATTCAGCGGGCTCTCCGATGTGGAGGACGGTTAACAGACTGATGTCAAATGAAAAAGGGGAGACAGACTAGAGAGTGGAGAGGATGAAGGGGCAGGAAGGGAGGCCAAGAGAGGCCAAGTGCCAGGCATACAGACGGCTGCTCATACAACTGTATTCACTACACCGGATCACAGCGGTTCTTAAACTTCCCGGGTTCTGCACGTGCTCGAGTGCTTGCTAAAAACCACGGACCTGCTCCCCAGAAAAAAGCACACACATTCCTCAATTTTTGCACCCAGTTTCCTGGGAATCGTGGATGCCTGTGAAACTCATCTATGGATCATCTCCAGAGGTTCACAGACGCCGGACTGGGAACCTCCACACTGGACGGTTGGGACTGGATCGGCCGAACTCCATGGAGGGTGTGCGGGCATCTCCAGCGCATCCCTAACAGGAGAGTGTGGGACATGCCTGGCTTCGGTATCGATTCAGGATTAATTACGAAAGAAATGGCTTGGCTGATGAGAGCTCGCCCTCCAAGGTCTCTTCGTTCTATTTCGGGCTACTGACAGCTGTGAAATGTGACACTGCTACATGAGAGCTGGGTATCTAGGTGAAAGGGCACACGTCCCCAGGCTCAGTGCCCACCGGCCGCAGCTGTCCCTGCTGGAAGGCACCAGCGGCCTGAAGGCTGTGGGATCACCGACAGCAGGAGGGAGAGAAACTGCCTAGGCTTCTCGCTCATCAATTCAGCCATCAGTTGTCAGGCGTTCGATCCAAGACTCCCACTCACAACTGCCGGGGACGCCAGTCAGCGTGGGCTCAGTCTTCCGGACCCGCCAACGCCTGTCATCTTGGAGGACACTGAGCGGAAGGCCAGCCAGCCTCCCCTTCTGGCAGAGAAAAAGCGGTCCCCCACCCTCTCTTCTGGAGTTTTTGGCTATCAAGATCTCCCGATGTCTGGAATGTGGAGAAAAGCTAGTTGTCACTGCTCGGAAGCCCTGAGCTGGGCAAGCGGGCCCGAAGCACAGGACAGGGTCAGAGGGCCACAGTGAAGACATTTTAGGTCTGATTCCAACTGATAGAGGCTCCCCCCACCGCCCCACACCACCCCAGGCGACTGGGGCAGCCTTGATGAACTACAAATAAGGTACTTTTTAGTTTAGCTAAGCACAGAATTTAGGAGAGCCAACAAGGACCTCTGTGTTCACTGAAAAGCAGGACATGTCACTAAAAGAGGCCGGACGACAAGGTGTCGGGTGCGGCCTGACATCGCAACGGTGGGGACGCCGGCCCGTCTGGCACGAGTTTAGCCCCGTCCCCACCGTCAAGGCCTGCACACCTTTCACCCCACTGGAATTTCTCCGCTCAAACTGCCATCAGGAAACCCTTCGGTTTTCTAAATGCCAACTTCCCTCTGGTGTCCCCAAACTGCTGGACGGTGCTCAGACCTTCTAGAATATGGACTCAACTCAGCCTCACGGGGGACTTTCTCCCTGAGAAACTGCACTCTTCAACCCCAAGAGGCCTTCGGAGACGCCTCCGGAGAAAATCAAAAAGCGTCTAGACCACACACACGGCAAGCGTGCACTGATCCTCACAGCCCGACGTCCAGTAATCACAACCCCCGGGCAGAGACCAAGAGCCAGACAAACCGTGCCCTCGTCTGTAAACCTTATTTTTAGCAAAGCTGAACAACCCTCACAGCATTTCCTGGAAGAGAAGCAGGCTGACCTTGAGCGTAGCAGCCGCCGGTGCAACCTCTCACGTCGGCGCACGGCCAATGGGCTAAAACCACCAGAAACCATGACTGTACCCAGTGGATGGCAAAGAGGGCACTGGGAACCGGCCCCTTCCATCTCCACACGGCGCTTCTTCCGCTGTCCCGCCAGAGACGCCCCATCAGCATGGCTGTGGGCCTCACGCTAGCTGGCTCTCCTGAAAATGCCACGGCGCCCTACAGGACTCGGCACCCGAGAGCGCGTGGCAGACACACATCCCGGGGTAAATGCTCGGGGCTGAGTCCGTAGCAGCCCGCACGGCAACTGGAGCGTGTTCACGTGACTTCCTCTAGCGTGCCCGGAAGTCAGCAGGTGCCGGGGAGCAGCACAGCTGTGGTGAGGTGCTGTGTGCCCACGGTGAAGGGTGCCGAGATCCGAGGCGCTGGCGGAGCCAGCTCCCTGCTCCCCCCCAGCATCACGGGGCACCCCAGGCCCCTGGCGCCCGAGACTCCTGCCTTAAAGCTTCGCGTGCCAAACTTCCAGTACTTTCTGACACTGTATTCCTAAACGCAGAAAGTTCTAGCTGCGTCGCCTCATCAGCTTGGATGCAAAATCCAGAATGTGGGAGAAGAAACGGAGCGAAAGCGCGGTACACACACTAAGTGATTCTGGCGATAGAGTACAAGGCCGGATCCCAGTGACATTTTCTAGGGACAGAAAAGATGATTCTCTGAACGACTTAAGTGACAGGGGTTGAGAAAACTGTTACGTGACTACGTGGGACACGGGAGAAGGAAATCCATGGCTTCAGCACTAACGGTTACATGCACTAGATACAAGGCCAGAATTTTCAGGCAGAGAAAGGCAAGAGGAGTGACTCAGCACCTGGAAGAGGCGTCTTGCACCCAGTGTGTCCAGACCACACACGGACGCAAAGGTCAGGCTACAGTCGTCATCCTTTGTTCAAGAAAGATCTTTACTCCACACGACTTTCTGCCTGTGGGTATGCAATGTTTCTTCTGTGTGTGCGCAGCCTTGGTTGAAAAAACAAAGGAAGCCTGAACCCCGGAGGGCCTGGTGTCGCTGGCAGCTTGGGATCTCCCTGGAGCACGCCCCTCTCCCCCAAACCAGTCTCAACGTCACGGCTTCCAGCTGCCGCCTCCCAGCCTGCACGACAGCCACCTTTCCTCGTGTGGGGAAGAGCAAAGGCATGGAGGCATTCAGTAACATCTCACAGAATCGGAGGACTCAGAACTGGATGGCACCTCAGAAATCACTGGGGCCAACGGCCTGAAATCGGCAGTCCAAGGGTCTGACACAACGCCTCCGCTGGCTGTGCAGAAACCTTCCAAGCCCTCTGGGCTTCCCTCCAGGCTCAAGGCTCTGCGTGGAATGGTCGGATGTCAGGACAGTTGGGAGCAGTATGTGCCGACCTGCTCTTGTGGCGGAGGACCTGGGAGTCTCGTCCCATGCATCATCCAGCATTTTGCTACGCTGGACATTGGAGACAAGGCTCCCGGTCTCCAAGGGGCTGATTATCCAGTTGGGGTGGGGGAGGGTTGGCGGAAATACATCTCAGACGCTACATTCTGTGGTTAAGGTACAAAATGCAGGTGAGGTGCACAAATAATAACGTAGCCTGTGAACCACCAGACCAGGTAAGGCCACCTTGCACTGGAGTGTTGGAAAGGCTCAGTGATGAGCAGCTCCTACTCTAACGGGCTTCCCAGGCAAGAATGGCGCAGGAATGTGTGTTCAGGAACTTTCCGTCAAAGAGCCGGCGTGGCCGCAGAGGTTCTATGGAGAGGGGCGAGAAATGGACGGTACGGCTGGCAATGTCCAGGGTGGTTTGGCGTAAGCCAAAAATGCCAAAAGACATTAAATGTTGGTCCTTCCGGCCTTCAAGGGAGTAAAGACCGACTTGTGGTGTCAGAGAAAGATGAGCACTGAGGTTAGTGATGAGACGGAAGTTTGTACGTTTACTCTTGGAAAGAGCAAATGCAGTCGCAACCAGAGAATACTAAACTGATTTGGTAAAACTAAATAAAACAAACCCATTAACTAACCGGGTTGTCTCATCTTGCCCTTGATTTTGTGGAAAAAGGCAGATTCTAAGAAAACAAATCCCTTTCAGATCTAGTCCAGTCGTCAACTCTGAGAATCAACGTGTAGCGACAAAGTACACAATTCGGGAGTCATGAGGACGGGGCTCGAGTTCCGGCTCTGCACCCTGGGCACTGCACTTGACTTTGACAAGCTTTAATCACTTCCTCTGTACAACAGGTCCCTAGGGCTTGCTGGCAAATGAGCAAGTGCATGAGAAGCACCTACCATCACCGTGCCTGCTGCTAACTCTTCCCGTACTAGAGTGGAAGCTTCTGGACCGAGTGACCTTAGTGCCAAGACCATGTCCAGTGGTCACAAGTCACACAGATGGATGGACAGACAGGTAAACGATTTCATTCTGGGACAGGCGACATTCTACCCAACTCTTCAGTCTCCTAGGCAGTAAGAATCAAGTTTCAGAAAAACCACCATGGAGCGCTGGTCCCTGCTTCAAGAAAAAAAATAAAGTATGCTTGGATTGAAGACTAGACCCAAGCAGATGGGAATGCACACGGTGTCGAACACAGTCTCGGCCATTCAGACCGGGCTTGAGCCAGAATCATGATCAATTCAGATCTTGGCATTAGAAGTTAAGCAGCCATCATGAGTAATCAATTCACAGCACTATTATCACTGAAGCAAACCCCATCCTTAACGATACACGATCTTTAGGCACATAGATAAAGTCTTTTGTGAACACCATAACTCCCGCAGCAGGACGTGGTTATAAAGCGTACCACGAAGAACCCCAGACTTAATATGTGCGTAGGTGATCGGAGACATATCTATTTGCTCTAAGTTCTTGGTCAAGTTTCCCCCCCTCAGTGTCTGTCTCCTTAACCCACGTAAGAATAAGGCAATGAACATGAAAATTACCGTGCCAGTGTTAGAGTTCTAAGTGAATTAGGACATAACCGATCAACTGCTCAATTTTTTAAAGCCAACTGCACCTTAAAAAGTTCTGAACATCAGACGCTTCTTGAAACATTTACATCATTTTTTGGTCGTTGTTCACTAAAAGGGCAGGTTAGTGGTCCTTTCGTATTTAATACCAATAGCATTAGAGCACTATATTCGCCTATCGGAGATCTTTCGTGTCGTTTTTTAAATCCTACGGTATTTACTTGCATCCAACATGAGCCCACCGTGCTACGCACCTGATTACTCAAGTACTCAACTTGGAATCATCACATTTCAGGGCTGAACTCAGGAAAGTGAAATGTCCTGCCCAGCCAGGCGGCAGAGCCCAGAGACATCATCTTTGTGCGTTCCAAAGGGTTTCTTAGACAACGAGGCTTACACACAGAATGACTGTGCAGCTAACGTGTGCTGACACCACCTGGGTTTTTGGAGGCTACGTGGTGCTCGGTTTGGTACTGGTTCAAGTATACCGCATACAGGAAACTCCCAGCTAAAACGGTAAAAAAGAGACTTCGTGGAGCACACTAACCAGGAAGGAGGAGTGACAGTCACGTTAAAGGCAGGCGGTGCTGAGTTTCTAGTAAGGGTCAAAAGTGGAACCAGGCAGGGATTCAGAAAGCCTGGGAAGGAAGGGGACGGGGCAGGGGTTCAGGGGGCTGTAACTCCGGGCAAAATGTGCGCGGCTTCGGGCTGGGGAAGGTGGAGTGTTTGGGGCTGCAGGGGCAGGTGAGGACTCTCCGGGGAGGGCCATCAAGATCGAGGACCTGGTGCAAGGCGGGGGGCGGCCCGGGGCCAGGCCTTACCCGGACGTGCGGCCCCTCCACCAGCTTGAGCGCCTGCGCCTCGAGCAGGTCGGCCCGCAGCCGCACCAGGAAGCGCACGCCGCCGTCCAGCTTGCTGATGTGGTGGAAGAGGCCGCGGTAGCGCGGCACCAGCGCGTAGCGCAGCCGGTCCTCGGCCTGCAGCAGCACGGCCGCCTCCCGCGGCTGCTGGCGCAGCTGGAGCACGCCGGCGCTCTGCTCGGCCACCTGGCCGTGGTCCACGCCGAAGCCCCGCGCCAGGCGGCTCAGCAGCTCGGCGCGCTCGGCCGCCTCGGCCAGGCCGCCGTAGAAGCTCACGAAGTCGGCGCACTGGCCCTCGGCCGGCGCCGGCGTCTTCTCGCGCAGCTCGTAGGCCGGCGTGGCGGGCACTGCGCGGCGCAGCAGCTCGTCCATCGCCCGCTCCAGGGCGCCCGCCTCCGCCGCCGCCGGCCCGCTCGACAGCCGGGGTCCGGGCGGCCGCGGAGGAAGCCGCAGGGGGAAGAGACGGCGCGCCGTCAGCGCTGTCCAGAAGCCTCTCATGGCGCCGCGCGGCAGCTACTTGAGGGACGCCGGCGCCGCCGGGCTTCCGGCTTCCGGCGCGCGCCGTCCCCATTGGCCGAGGCTGGGGGCGCGGGCGGGACGGTGGCCAATCGGAGGGCGGGAGGGGTGGCGGCGCGGAGCCAAGTGTAACCAAAGGTCCCGGCGGGGCGGAGACGCGGGCGTGCCTCGTCCCTTCGCCACCCAAAGTCACCTCCCCTGCCGCTGTCCTCTTGCCCCACCTGCTCTGCTACGTGCAGGCGCTACACTTGCGGATTCCTGGTCCATCACGTCTGGGGAGAAGCCACGGAACCTGCGTGGTAATTCACTGGCAGGGTAGCCTCGGTGTTAACCTCCTGCCTAGGCGCTCTCAGTTCTTTGCCAGGGTCTGATTATACAGGTGACTCCCACTGCCGCCGCAGCCCTCCTCTGTCCGGAGCTCGGGACCTAGCTTTACAGCTGCCTGCTGCAGAGCTTTTCATGGATGCGCCAAACGGGGCTTTCCTAACCGTCTTAGTCCCCAACCTGTCCCTCCTTCCTAAGTCCTTGATCACTCATCTATTCAACAGGGTGTTTATGAACTACCTGGTATGTGCCAGGTCCTGTCCTAGGCACGGGGCTAACAGAATGAGCCAGACAGACCCGATGGTGCCTCATGGAGTTTACAGTCTAACGGACAGGAGAACATAACGACAAATTGGACTCCTGAATTCATTCCTTCTGTCTGGCCCCCCGCGCCTACAGCCCATGTCACTTCTCACCGGGGCCACTGCAGTAACCTCTTTGCTTCCAAGCTCAGTCCTCCAATCCATTCTTTGCATCAGCTGCTGAGTGAACTTTGTAGATTATCCACTTAGGCGTGTCATTCACTTGTTCAAAAACCAAATGCTTTAGCGTAACAGGCAGAGCCCTCACCAACAGCCCCTGCTCTCCCTTGTAGCCACATCTGTTGTTCTTTCCACCTCATTTCTATTTCTCTGTGGCCTGGTGGCTCCCAGACTTGTAGATTTTGGAACCCATTCTTAAAACACAAGACAGGGCGGGAAATGCAGTTGTCGGTGGCCTTGTTGGTGTCCGCGGTGGTGGAATCACACTCAGTTTGTAAGCCTCCAAACACACATCTATTTCAGTCTCTCCTTACACGAGAGAGAGTTCCACCACAGTTAGTGAGCGTTTGGTGGGAGTTTGCAGGGCCTGATGCCAAGTAGAGCAGAGTCCAAAAGAAAATCCAGCCGAGAGCTCACTGCGCTCTTTAAAAAGAGAAGCCTTGGGGCGCCTGGGTGGCTCAGTCGGTTGGACGTCCAACTTCGGCTCAGGTCATGGTCTCGCGGTCTGTGAGTTCGAGCCCCGCGTCGGGCTCTGTGCTGACAGCTCAGAGCCTGAAGCCTGTTTCGGATTCTGTGTCTCCCTCTCTCTCTGACCTTCCCCCGTTCATGCTCTGTCTCTGTCTCAAAAATGAATAAATGTTTAAAAAAATTTTTTTTAAAGAGAAGCCTCCTCTAGGTACAAAGTATGAAGGACAGCATCAAAGAGCCTGCTGAGATCAGAGGGTGGATAGTGGGCTTTGGGGAAGGGGCTTTCTTGTTTGGGGATATAGAGGGCACCTTGTGATCTGTGGGTACCAGAGAGAGGACCCCTTTCTTTCTTAGTCACACAGTGGTAACTGATGTGCCATTAAAGCCCCTCGGATGTCCCCGATATGTCTTTGAGGAGAGAGACGTGTGCAGGCACTGGCTATGCCCTTTACCCTCCTCTGCATGCTAATAACAGCACTTTACTAAGCACGTACTATATGTCCTCTGCCCTTCTGGCACGTAAACCCATGATCTCAATCCTCGCAAGAACCCTGCCTAACTTCAGACTATATTAAATAAATTCTAGATGGCCTAAGGATTTAGACTTTTACAAAATGGAATAAAAGTAAAGTAACATCAGAGAGAGAAAGGTCCTTTGAGACATGGCAGAGACCATAAAAGAGAGATTGGTAAAGTTAAGTACATAAAATTTTTTATTTTTTTTATTTTTTATTTTTTTTAAATTTTTTTTTTCAACGTTTTTTATTTATTTTTGGGACAGAGAGAGACAGAGCATGAACG